ACAAAATTTTGAGAAAGCGTCATTTTATCCGAAAACGTGAGTGAAAGCTATCTCCCTGAGGGACTTTTTTGTTTCTCGATTCCAGTGCTGTCATCTTCAAAACCAGTACAAGTCTTATAGTGCGTGTACACATTCATAACGAGGGCAGCTAGAGGGAGTGATGGGCGGAGCCGCCCTTTGCCCCCGAAAAGGTGTGATGTCCTCTAAGAGATTTCTGGAGGTGTCAAGTACCCCTGGAGGAAAAGCGGCTAGGTTTTGGGAACTCCTGCCACGCCGCCAACCCATCCGTACCTCGGTTAACTTATGAGAGCTCACCCAGAATATAATATCCACAGCAGCTGAAGAGGGTATTATTGCAAAATGATTAAGTGGGTGAGTGTTTTCAAATTAGTTGAGTTCCTGCCGTCTGATCAGCATAAAGAGTCCAGCAAAATCATTTTGAACTAGTAAAAGGATCAAAAATAACTGATATTGATATCCAGTCTTTTAATCTCTATCCGACATCAACTTATAGTATAATAGATAATTTCTATATGCAGATTTCATGCTGCAAAAATCAAACGCCAGATAACCATTTCTGCAGAAATGTGATTAGTCGATCAAGATAAATTTGACGCAGTACGCCATTTCACAGTGCATTAAGATATGTAGCAGCGCCGACGAGAGTAGGGTGGTGAATGGAAACATAAGTTTTGAAAGCTTAGAAATAAAAGCTGTGTATCATTTCTCATTAACTTAATCCTGAAGGAGCTTTCGTTCAGCACATCACTTCCATAGGCAACTGCTGGGAACATTTGTATCGGCTTGTTTGTTTATCTGTTGTTCAATTTCCCCATAAACTCAAGTTTTTTTATCCAGCCCTCACGATCCCCCTCCCTCACCGTAGGTGCCTCTTTTACGATCCCTCTGCAACCCTCCTCCCTCCCTCCACTATAATTTCTCGCATCAGCTCCTCTTGCTAGTGCAAGGTGATTTAGAAACATGACAACAACAAATTAAATTTTTGCGATTTCTGACTAGTTAGTGCATAATTTTATTCAAAATTTATGGAGCTCTTTTGCCATCCTATCAGAGTTTTTGTAACTGTACTGTCTTTGATGAATATCATATCTAAGCATTTGTTTGAAATAATGCAATAAACTGACAATATTGTGAGATATTATTTTCCCTCTTCCATCAACATCTCATAATCTTTTAGCTTCCGTCATCCTGCGAAAAACCAAGCAAGCCTTTTGCCTCTTATGTTGTTCTCAAGTGTACCAAAACTGGAATTGTCTGGAATTTTGTACTAAAACTTTCCTTGAGGCGGTTTCTGACCACTTCCGCTTGTTAACAAAGCTTAAGAAGCTAAGCCGACGCTTAAATATAAATCAAGGTTCTAATGAGATGCAAACTTCGCAATATGAGGGTTCTGTCAAATCTAATTTTCTACATCGTCACATCAAGGTGAGTATGTTTTTTCTAAACATTATTCATGGATAGAATTGGAATATTTGAACTGTAATATCTACTGAATCTAACAACTGTATGCACTGGCTGTTAATTTTAGGTTTCTTGCTATCTACACTTATACCATCGTTCCTGGCAAGTTCAGATTTTCCTAATTATTACGAATTTGTTTTCAAGCCTAAAACTAAAATTGCTTTTTTGCAGAATACGCAGCAATACCTTCATACCCAGCATGGCAAACACCGCAAAATAATCAGCTCCTTTACCATAGCTTCGTCACGGTGCCGGCTTCCCCTTTGTATGGAGCAGCACCTGCACAATTCGTACGGGCCCCTATGAACTATTTGCCAGCTGGTTTTCGGTATACAACGGTAATATGCTACATCTAGTAAATTTTCTGCTAGATATAGTGTGCTTGCGGTGCTGAAATTTTGCGATAAAATTTACGCGTGAACAAATAGTGCGCACGAAATGCCGGAAATTTGCTGTTTATGCGTTTAGTTCATGCGCAAGCCTTACCACGGAATCTCGGCACCGCTGCACATTATTTTGAGCAAAAAATCTGGCAGATTTGACTTCTTAAAGCTGAAATTTTTCTTTGCTGCCGCAGGGCGTTTTGGTACCGTTTTAAATTGTTTGAATTCAATTCGCGTATTCAAAGGCACAGTTTTAGGTATTGCGTATTAGGTTGGCATGTAAGTAATGCGACTTTTTATATGACTTTTGTCTTTTTAAGTGTAGCGCACTCATTTTTTGGCAATGTAAGGAATACGATATAGCAAACGCAGACATTTTTGCCGAATGTTGTCATCTCATGTAAAGGTTACGGTAGTCTACGGTATAACGGAAAAATTTCTGGATTACTTCGGATTTTGCTGAAACTTGGCCTATGGGGGGTTATTCGGCAGCTGACCACAAAATGAGACCCATTTCGCTTGAAAAGACCTTTTTTGCAAAGTAAAGGAATGAACTTTGTTTTACAAGGGAACGATCCCAACTTAAGGTGGCGTATCGGAATAAACCGCATACCGTTAGATGCGTCTTGATGAGCAGATTCCAAATCTACCTTCCACATCTGCGACAACGTTATCTGGAAGAAGTTATGAAAGGTTCAAAATGTGAATTAACGGGGGTTTTGATGCATAATTTGCTTTAAAATCTAACTTGGAGGTGCACGACTAGCATCATATCGAGTGTACTGATTCCATGGAATGCTCAAATTCAAAAGAAACGCAAATAAATGTTTTTGAACAGCTGAAAAGCAACTAAAGTTCTTTGGTAAAAGCTATGAGCAATGAAAAGTCCAAATTTGGCAAATATACAGCGCAATACCTCGAAAATTATTTGTTCAAAAACACTTACTTACGTTTCTTTAGAGTGTGAGCATTCCTTGAAATCAGTGCGCTCAATATCATGCTAGTTATACACTCCCAAGTTGAATTTTGAAGCGAATTATGCACTGAAACCCTCGTAACTTCACATTTTTAACCTTTCATAACTTCTTCCAGATAACGTTGTCGCAGATACGGAAGGTAGATTTGCAATCAGCTCATCAAGGCGCATCTAATGATGTGCGACTCATTCCAATTCGCCACCTTAAGTTGGGATCGTTTCCTTATTAGCGATAAATAAATATGATATTAGTGTTTACGGTATTAAGTTACCTTTTTGTGCATATCAGCGAATTCTGAGGTTTCGCAGCTTAGCAGGAGAGGTTCAGAACTTAACCCTGCCATTACAAACAAGCTGCATATGATCAGACTCGCCTTAGAACACCGATTTCAAATAAATGTTTTTATCTGCTAAGCGACTATATGGGAGTAGTTATGACCGTTCGACTTTGAGAATTTTTTTTCAGTTTTGACCAACATATTTCCTTGAAAGGTAGCCTGATGGCGCAGAGTTACAATGGTTATGGTCTAAAAACGTATATTGAAATCAGCGTTCCGAGGCGAGTCCGACGATATACAGCATGCGTGGTATGGTTGGGTCAAATTCCGACCATTCCCTGTTAAGTTATTGATGGAACGTCCTCCAAATTTGACGCATTTGGCCTGTTCTACTTCTCAAAAAGCGCCTTATCTTAGTTTGTCCTTTGATTTCACTTATTTTCAACTGATTCTAGTAAGTCAACTTTTAGCTACATGCAGCCTATGATTTCTTTTTGATATGTTTGATTCAGATTTTTTACGGCTTCATGTTTGCCAAACCCTCGATTTTCAAGCGTTCTTGGAAAATGTTTGAATTCTTTCTACTAAATAGGTTATCAAAAATCAGACAGTTTGCGCGTCACGGTTTACATGAAACCAAAGAATGGAAGTCCTACATTAGATAAGAAAAAAAAGTAATGGGAGAAATTGCAAAACTTATGCGCCAACCTGATACCTGCGCTATCCTCAAGAAATGTAAGTGTGTAAATTATTGTTACCACATAACGGGGAGACGGTCTTTTCGCACGGGCGGTACCCAGCGCTACCCTGATTTTGACTTGTCTCAACGCGTCATACACGCCGCAACTCTTTCCTCCCCTAGCTTCGCTTAGGCAAAAGCCGCCGCAGGGTGTGTGCGCGACGGCGGTCCTGCGCGGAAAGAATTATGGTCGTGCGAAAAGCCCTACACCCCACATAACGTAACGTTTTCTCAATTTGTCTGTTATAGTATCCGAGCTTGCAATATGATCCATCAGCTATCGAAGATCGCAAAGCTGTAACCCCTTATTCGTCAGGTAAACATTTCTTTCTGTCGAGATGAAACACTCCTAGTCTCTTGTTCTTGTTGGTGCCTCAATAAATTTTGATATCGACTCTCCGTTCACAAATGTTTTGTTAGGTTTTTCCATAAGTCTTGCACTAAAAAAACGAAAATTTGCTCAAAATGCATATATTAGGTTGTCCGGAAATTAATGTCCGTTTTGAATTTCAGCCGCAATATGTCATCCATTTCTCATTTCTAGATAGTATGCAAAGTACCATTCGATAGAGCAAAGCAACTCTACAAGGTGGCAATTTGGCTTTAGCAACAGCTTCGATCCATCTTGAGTTTCAAGCCAAAGTCTAAAAAGATTCAGCTGCCCGAAGAATCAAGAAAAATCGTAACTTTGTTCATAAAAATCCTACAAAAATTCTAAATTGTCCACGTAAACGCTGTCTACACAAGACATCTATATACGCCGTTGCCGTATTTTTGCTCTATTAGAAATCAATAAAACGGAAGTTCTCGTGCATTTTTCAAAGTGATGCTGTGCTGTCCCCACATAGATAGTTATAGACTACAAACCTATAGAAGTATAAATGTAAATTTTCAGCTCTCTATAAACTATAGTTCTCAAGAAATCTGAATTTCACTTTGGACCCCCTGACTTGGGAAAGCTACATTCGATATTTCTCGAGAACTAAAGCTTGCACAGAGCTGAAAATTTACGTTTGTACTTCCACAGGTTTGTAGTATACAACTGCCTATCTGGGAACAGCACAGCATCACTTCAAATGCACGAGAATTTCTTCTGTTTTCTTGATTTCACAGAGCAAAAAATACCGCAACGGCGTATATAGATGTCCTGTGTAGAAAGTGTTTACGTGGGTTAGTTAGAATTTTTTTGGGATTTTTATGAACAGAGTTACGATTTTTTTCGATGTTTCGGGCAGTTGAATCTTTTAGTTCTTGACTTGAAACTCGAGATGGATCAGAGCTGTCGCTAAAGCAAGATAGCATCTTGTAGGGCATGCTTTGCTCTATCGAATGATACTTTGCATACTATCTAATAGAAATGAGAAGTGTATCACTTGTTACGGTTAAAATTCAAAACGGACTTTAATTTCCGGGCAACCTATTGTTAGGTTGGCTAAAAAATAATTTCGTTTTGGCATGAGAATCTTCATAAAAACTTTCCTAATTGTTCTTTATTCATGATTTCTTGTCATAAGTAGTTCAAAGCTTTTTCCATATCACAACTATACAGAATATTAAATTATCACTAAGGGACAGTTATGCCCCAACATGGCTAAAATTCCAAAGCTCAATTTTGTAACTATCAGAGTTTCGTTTTCATGCTCTACTGAATGTAGATATTCTTTCACCTAAAAACCAAATTCTCTCATATTTGCGCACAATGAAAAAAATGGGATTTCTCACTTCTTTGCGATTTATTTCATTGCAAAATATATTCAAACAGATTCTATACTCCAATTCTCAGTGGAGTGCTTTTTCCAGAGGTACCGAATACTGAGCAAAAAATTCTCTGCAGCATCTGTAGGAGCCGCAAAACCGACCGAGATCAATTATTAATTTCGCAATTATCCACCTTTTGCGACATATAGCAAAAGTTGCATTAGTGCGAGAATAAATCCAAAACCAAAGTTCAAGTCTTATCTGAAAGAGCGAAATTTTGTTTTTTGAGGCATATCGCAGCGAACGATTTTTCTGAAGTTGAGAAATGCTACGAATTTTCCGAAATTTTTTTGTGCAATACTTATGTATTAAGCTACAGCTTACAGTGCAAACCCAAAAGCTCCAGACAGTTCCATCTGATGAAGAGATCGACTCTCAAGAAACAAGTGCGTGTTTTTTTGAATTTTGAGTCCAGTCTCTAGCCTACACATCTTCGAACCTTTAGACGAGGATTCCCCGGAGGAATCGACAATCATCTACCAAGAGCTGCTCCGAGCTCAACTGTATCGACAGTTGCAAGAAATCAAGAAGGCGTTCCGACTACATAAAGCGTTTAAGAAAGTCGACACATTGTAATGTGTGTTCGTTTCCATGATGTTTTGCAACAGATTTCAAGTTGTTTGGTGTCTTTAGGAAAGAGGAAACTTATCCTACTTCCGGATAAGTATGTAAGCCTTCACATATAGTTGTGAATGCGCTCAAATAAATACTTAAGAATAAAGGAGACCTGATCTAGAATTACAACTCACCTAAGAATAGTGGTGTTAAACTCTTTGATTTTTCATAGACCGTCAAATTATGCTGAAGTCTTTAAAAAGTATTAGTTTCCTGAATAAATCCTTTTTCTTCTTAGCTGCCATAGATCTCGCTTCCATAAATCACTTCTTATAATTGTTACACAATATCCCGTTCATTTCCTAACTGCTACAATATATGGCGTTTCCGAACGGAATTTCATATGTAGTTTTCCGTCTGCCCTGCCACGCATTGAAACACCTGAAAAATGGGTTTTCAAAAACAGCCATTAACTTTGACTTCGTAACTCTGGTGACGAGCTTACTTACAAGGAAGAGATCTGCTTTCTTGTTCTGCAGAACGCTTCTGGGAAGGAAATTATACTTTTATTTGCATGAAATATGCAAAGCGAGTAGCCAAATTCATCAAAACCTATGCATTTTGATTTTAAACTTACTTGAAACAGCATATTCATGCCAAGTTAATGCTTATCCGTTCAGAATAGTCATTTTGTAGCAAAGGAGCAATATGGACGATTTCCATTATTCTTAATCGCTCAAAACCATGGACATCGCTTATAAAAAACCCCAAAACTTCCTTCTCAAAAGCGTTCTGCCGATATGGAGGCAGACCTGGAATAAGCACTCGAAGATCTCTGTAACGGTATGAATTTTGTAGTAAGCGGCTATTTTGTCTCCACGAGCCTCCCTTGTTAGAATTAAGGGCTTCTTAAAAGTAAAGGGTATACACTGTTTGGTCATTCATATCTTTCTTCTCAGGAAGTTTCTTACCTAACTTGGAGGGAGTGCCACTTTGTAGAGCTGGCTTCAGTTTTAATTACCTACAGAGTGAATCATTGAACACTTATTATTACTGGAGAATTACGATAGGAACTCCCGGCATACAACACCGCTAGAAAGCTTCCATTATACAGGGTGTCCCAAAAATAACTGCACACTGTTTGACCTTTAATAACTTACTTTCTTTGATATCTTTCGCCGACCTTCAAGTACCATTCTGTAGAGCGAAGTTTATCTAAGATATATAGCATAGAGCAAATCATCGATCGCCTTTCATTACTGTAGTATCACGGTCGGCAAGAAATTTAAGCCATTGGAGGCATTATTTTGCCTCTGAACAAAACCGAAGAAGCCAAAAAATCTTATGCTATGGTAATGGCAGGCGATATACTCTCGATTATGAAATTTCCACTTTACAGAGATGTTTCTTTTCAAAGTCATCCCAGATAAACTGTATTAACTGAATTTCCGGCACTTGTCAAAAATGTAATTACACCGTCAAAAGAGCAGAAAACACTTGTGAAAAGTTGTGCAGTGGGAATCAGCGTGCGCGAAATCCCCAGCACACGTTTTTTCAGACTTTTTGAAAAGAAAATTGTTAAATGGCATGTTTCACAATGGTTCCCTATGCTGGAATTTCTTACCGTAATCCTACAGTAACGAAGATCCGCCGCTGATTTGCTTTATGCTGTAGATATAACTTGAACCTGGCTCTACAGAATGGTACTTAAAGGCCTGCGAAAGACATCAAAGCGAGGAAATTTTTGACGACCAAACAGTGTGCACATTTTTTTGGAACATTATATAGATAAAAAGAAAGCATTTGTAACAAGGTTTACAAGGGATTTCTCTATTTAACTTTGTACAAGACTGTGAAGCTTTCTAAAAGGTATAATAACATTTTTAGGAGTAACGAAAGAAATAGCTGCTATTGCGCACCTTAATCTTAAAGAACATCATGGCAACTCTAAGTTGTAGTCATAACGTTTGTTGTTCTATTGTAAAGGTTCCAAAGTTATTTTGTTCGTCTTTCTGAGGCAAAATATGACCTATATGACTCTAAGGCCTCGTCAAAGTTTTCACCGTTACCTTACAGCGCTGAAGTGCAATTGTTTTGCTTTGTATGAAACTTGGATGAAGCCAGCTCTAAAAAATGGAACCTGAAGTTTCTCCAAAGACTTCATGGCAAGAAAGTTGGTACCGATCAAAGTTTGATCTTTTTGGGATCATTTCGGAAGTTCTGTCCTATTTTTTGATCAATAGAAAAGACTGAACGAAAAAAAAGGCAAACGATTTCAGCATCGAACGCAAGTTCGCCCATGATTTTACCATGTCCAACTAATGGGTTTAATTGCTCATTCACAAAGACCAAGACAATGCATTTTTTGGAAATTCAACAGGTATTCCAGTGGTCTTCAAGATAATTTACCCGTAAGTCTTCTCGTCGAGTTTTGCGAACTCGTGTAATACAAAAATGCATCAAACATCGCAGATGCAATCTAAAACTTTTAATAAACGATAATAATATAATATCACGACGTTTCACGACGCAAATGTACGTTTATTGCACTTATAACAAATTTGAATCTTTTGGATGGAGCTTGGGGCACGTTCGAAAACAAGCATATAACAATTTTGTCCCCGATTTCACAAATTGAAAAGAAAAGCTTTTTGGAAAGGAAGAGAAAAAGCTGCATCTAGTAAAGCTGAACTGCTAGTCGGTTGACCAGATATGTTTCGTGTTATCAAAAAATAATTTTGTGGATTTCACAATCGGTCAAAGATTAAAAAAATGCGCCGTGCTGCACTTTGTTGATTATATTCACCAAATGCTCTTCCGATTTTGATATTTTGTGAAAAAACATTGAAGTTGGACTTTTGAAAGAGCTGATGTTGCAACGATTATTTTACTGAACACGGGAGTAATAATTCAAAACCAGAACTGCTAGAGAGAAGAAGAACAGCTGTGTGAAACAGTCGTTAGAAATACCTATCTTATTTTAAGTGTCTTTACGACAAATTGAGAAAAAATGGACAAAACTTTCGAAACGACCTAATATAAAGCTGTGTGTGTAAATGCTTTAGTCAGTAAGCTCAAGGAATTTCTTGTAAAACGATCAGCACTAAACTTAGCAAACTTATGTTCCCGACCGCGTAACCTTATATTAATGGCTCTCATACTCCAATAATCGAAGAATTCGACCATTTGACATACATTCGAATATATTCGCATTCGAAATTTGGAACTCAAAGTATCTAATTAAATTCGAAAACTTGAACTATCAAGGACAGTGTTTCGAATAAAATTGGAAAATTCGAATTATTGGAAATGGATTTAAACGAATTACTCCAATGTTTTATTCAAATGTTCTATTTTTATTTGCGTTCGAGTTCGATGCAGAGGCAATTGCTATGGAAATTGTCTGAAGCATTTTCTTTGATTCTGTTAGTAATGCGAGATTCACTCAATGCATACCTTAGTCCTGCATTTTTATCCGAAATTAGCTGGCTTACCCGGTTTCGCTCGGCCCTGTCAAAACACTATGATAAAGCTCCCATCATTATCCTTAAACAAAAACTTGTACAACCTTTCCCTGTGCCCACTTCTACATACCAACTCCAATCCCTATTCCCGCTGTGTTAGTTATCAGCATGTTCATTTATCTCTGCGCCAACTCCCAGCCCCGTAGTTCAAACTTTGCAAAAAATCGATAAAATCGATAAAACTAATGGATAATGTAAAAACTAATAATGTATTCGTAATCAGCAGCTCGATCACCCCCTGTGCCAACTCCTAGCCCCATAAATGAACTCTGCAAAAAAATCGATAAAAATAGTTAAAATCGATATCGATTCATGGCGAAAAGTGTCATATGACATCCGCTCGGCCCCGAAGTGTATGTGTGCAAAGTTTGGTCCGGATCGGTTCAGAAATAGAATTTTCTATGGAACATACGTATAGACAGACATACAGACAGACAGACAGACAAACAGACATTCAGCTTCATATACAAGATTAGGAAAAAAACATAAGCAATAGGACACCCCATATTCAATAAGATCTGGCATCTGGAAGGAGGCAGATTATTACTCACTCACCCCTCTTCATCCTGTGGAAGGCATGCTTCACGCAGTATGGTAAACTAAATTTCATGATTTCTGACACTTACCATCGTTTGCGTGTCCCAAAATAGTTGTACAACTTCCTGAGCTTTCCGTACGAGGTTTGATGCCGTGCTAGTAGTTGGAATTCAACATTTGCATCCTAACAGGTTTCTCAGCAATTTACGTCACGCATAGTTCTCTTGGGATGCTGCTGAGTTGCAGCCTTTGATACCTAGTCGATTGCTATCTTTTGCCTTAGATTACTTTCTCGACAGTTAGTAACCGAACTTTGGGCTGGGGCGATATTGCCATAGGATGGGTGGAAGTGCGGGTTATGAATGAAGAATCGTCATCGATACCGACTCAGTGCAAACATTGAACTGAGACTTTGGGAGGACAGAAGGAGGAAATAAGTAGTCATCTAACTACGTGCAGAAGATAGCTTAGAACAATTTTATACCAAAAATTTCACTGATTTTGTGCATTGGGTTAAAGCGCTGGAAGTCATTACAGCGGGGTATAGTGACCATGCCGATCATGAAGATACGGTGGGGGTAGGGAAGCATGCAAGCGGTAACCGGGCACCCGACTGGGGGGCGCTCGTTACGTGCGGGCTGCCCATTGAAAAACGTCGCAACGCGGCAGCGCGCGGGGAGAGGTAAGGCAGCAAACTTGTCAAATCTATACATACTAATTACTCCGCTACATAAGCTGCTGCAGATGGTACAATGAATATTTATGTTATCTAAAACTCCTGCCAAAAGATTTTCTCACCTCGTCGTGTTCGAATGCGGTATTAGATTCAGGAATAATTTGATATCCTTGATATACCATTTCAAACACCAGAAAATCCATATTTCATGGAGAAACATGCAATTAAACAAAACTATACAAACGAAAAATTTCCAAAAACTTACAAATAATTACAAAAATATT